TGGGACGGAAGGGAACAGTGTGTGCGTGGGGGAGTGGACTACAGGAGACAAAGAGACCGCTCTGTTTCCACTGCATTTCTGCTGGTACATGAGTATTGCAGGGGAACAGAACAAACAAAACAAAACAAAAACAAAACAGAATAAAACATCAGGTTCGTGAAGAGAATATGTGGCTCTAAGTTTCCACTCTCCCCCTTGGAAATGAGGCTCCCTGATCCATTTGCCTGGGAAGTGAAGTTTGTTCTTAATATATTGAGTCTTTTAAGGATCAGATGAAGCAATACTTGTGAAAATAAACAGTAAATTTTTATAAATACCATAAGAAAGAATACTTGGTTTTGTTATTACTTTGTTTTAAAAATTAGTTTTGATTCCCCAGGCACCTCTCTTTCTTCCACTCATTCTGCGGAGAATGTGCCTTAAACCTGTGCCACACTGGGCCCTGGTGTCCGTATGAATAAGGCACAGTTCCTGCTGTCACCGGGCCTAGAGGATGCGGAGGCACTCGACTATACCAGGAAGCATTTGTAATAAGTGTGGACAGGTGCCATGGCAGATGCGTAGATTTTATAAAGCAGTATGTATGTATTGACTTTAACCCGAAAACTAAAATTTGACTACTAACTTTTGATTTTTCCAAAGATAGACATTGAGGAAATTCAATTACTATTGCATTCTCATAAACTATGGAACAATTTAAGATCGGATATGTAAGAAGGACACAGAGAATAAAGTCATATGAAGCTTTATTTTAAAAATTACAATTTTTCTTTTTTCTTTTTTTTTTTTTTTCTGCTTTTACCTCAGACTCTTAAACACGTCGTTTTGGGGGAGGCGGGGACACAAAAGAGCGGGTAGGCTGCCTCTGGGAGGACCCAGTCGCAGGATCACAGGATTCTCTGTGAATTTGACCCCTGAAGAGAATGCAAGGAAGGTGGGGATGGTCAGGAAACTCTACTCACTGGACACTGTCCAAACGCTGACGCATAAAAGTTGAAAAGTATTTCCAGTCAGGCGGAGGATGGGGGGCTGGAGGCAGCCTCCAGCACCGGATTTGCTCATTGTGAAGGAAGCACGGATGAGGGAATGGAGACTTAGGTTCCCAGCAGAGGAATGTGTTGGCAACAAAGCACTTGTCATCCCTCTTTCTGTATTAATTTTCAAGATACTGCTTTCCATTACATTGGAACCGATTGCTATGACATGTGAGGTAGTTGAATCGCCTTATGTTATACGATAGTAACACCTTTAGACTAGTTATAATTTCAATATCAATTGTGGTGTCAAACGCTAAAGAACAATATGTTCTAAGCATTTTCATTAATGAGAATGAGATGGCCTTTTCTATCTCGTGTTGCAGTGAAGAGAAAGAAAAAGAATTTCAGGAAGAAAGAGAGGGCTGTGAAACCACCTTCGTAATGCAATTCAGGTTTGGAAAGGAGACTGATATACTTTTCGCATTAAGGTGAAGCATTAGCACATTTTAGCAAGATATCAGCCCCCCTCAGAAGAGATCTGTCTCTGTTGTTAATGTTGTTACTTTAAGATATCTGTATTAACAAGAAAGAAAGGACAACTTGTAACCCGTGGTCCGGACCAGCCCTTGGTCTCTTTAATCCTCCATTACCCTGAACTGAAACTCCCACGGCACCATCCTCAGCGGCAGAAATCCTTAAAGAGGCCAGTACTGATGCAGAGGGCAGAACATTTCCAAACCATAAGAAGGAGGCACGGTGAGAAGCCCCAGCTGAAGGACCAAAGAGAAACAGAGATCAAGGGAAACAGGTGATTTAAAAGGTGGCTGGAAGTCAGGCCTTGATAAAAGAATATCCTTACAGGGAAAAGCAAACTGAAAGTTCTTTGGGTTTCTCTGAATTTGTCAACTGGAGGGGAAAAAAAAAAAGAAAGAAAGAAAGAAAGAAAGAATTTTCTCTGAATTTGTCAACTGGAGGGGAAAAGAAAAGAAAGAAAAGAAAGAGAAAGAAAAAGAAAGAAAGAAAGAAAGAAAGAAAGAAAGAGAGAGAGAGAGAGAGAGAGAGAGAGAGAGAGAGAGAGAGAGAGAGAGAGAGAGAGAGAGAGAGAGAGAGAGAGAGAGAGAGAGAGAGAGAGAGAGAGAGAGAGAGAGAGAGAGAGAGAGAGAGAGAGAGAGAGAGAGAGAGAGAGAGAGAGAGAGAGAGAAAGAAAGAAAGAAAGAAAGAAAGAAAGAAAAGAAAACCTCCCTACTCAAGTGCCATCGCCACTAAAAATAGTGATATATTTGAGAGAGTTCAGTAATAAAAATGAGGGGGCCACACTTTTGTCATTCAAATGAGGTGATGACTTATATCCACAAAAACCTGCACGCAGATATTTATAGCAGCCACCTTCATAATTTCCACAACTCGGAAGTAACTAAGGTGTGCTTCAGCAGGTGAGAGGATAAGTAATCTGTGGTACCTTCAGACAAGGGAATATTATTAGTCAGTGCTCAAAAGAAATGAGCCATCAAACCATGAAAACACATGAAGGAACCCTAAGTGACTAGTACTAAATGAAAAGAGCTGATTTGAAAAAGCTACATACTGTCCGATTCTAATTACACGACATAGTGGAAAAGGCAAAATGATGAAGACAGTAAAGGGATCAGTGGTTGCCAGAAGTTAGAAGGGAGGTCAGGAGGCATGAATTGGCAAAGCATAAAGAATTTTGTAGGGCTGTGAAGCTATTCTGTATGACACTGTAACAGCGGATACATGTCATTATATATTTGTCGATACCAAGAATAAACCCGAAGGTAAATTATGGACTTTGGGTGATAATGATGCATCGATGTGGGTTATTTAATTGTAACCAATATGTCACTCTGGTGAGGGACGTCAATAGTGGAATGCTGTGCCTACATGGGGGATCTCTGTCTATTCCATTCCATTTTGTAATGAACCCTAATCCGCTTTAAAAAATAAAATCTATTAAAAAGATGAGGCAGTGAGGCTGAGAATGATGGTCACCGAGTCGGTAAAACTGGCTCCCATCAGTCTCCTACACGTCTCCTGAGGATTTCTTGATCAATAAGCACATCTGTACAGCGTGCTAAGTGCCATGCTTTGTAAGCATCATGGCACAAATAAAGGACGTCCCTATCCTTAAGAAGCTACTCTATACTGACTATTACAAGTCCTGACATCTGACTAATGAGAAGCTGAATGGATAGCTGAAGAATGACTTTAATGAAGGAATTACCGAGCCCTGGAGATGTGAAGAATCAACTCCTTCTAGGTGGTCATTGACTAAAGTCAGAGGAAGAAGTTTACTCGTCAAAATAACACTTGCTTCTATAACAGAGAGATCTCCAAATCTTAGTGACTTAAAAAAAAAACCATTTCTGTTGTTCTCTCACAACAGTGTAAGGTTGGTACTCCTGTCCAGGTATTATACGGACATGATCCCTCAGGGACCAGCCCTCCTTCCACCTGTGGCTTCATCTCCCTCTGGAATGACCCTCGGCGGACTCTCCAGTTGGTGGCTGGGAAGAGAAAGGCTTATGCGTGGGATTAGGGAAGTTTTAATACCGTGCGGCTCACTTTCACTGACCTGTAAGCCATTGGCTAGAACTTAGCGGTCACACTTTACTGCAAGGGAGACTGACATGAGTTTGTCTAAACTGTGCTTCCAGGAAACTAAAGAAAATGAGTTCGTCCGACCATCAGCTGGCCTCTGCCACCTGAGGAAATAATGAAAGTGAGTGAGGGCTCTGCAAGTCAGAGCAGATTTTGGTTTGGGAGCAACGGCGCTAGGTTTGGAGAGTGACTCAAAAAAGAGGGTCTGAGGAGACTTCAGGAGGAAAAACGCCCCCGAAGGATGGGGTGGAAATTTCTCAACCACCTAAGGACAAATTGATGAAATATAGACTATGATGTAATGTTGGAACCTGTAGAGAAAAATAAAGCTGCTGTGACATAGAGAAGTCTTTTTCTATTTCCATGTCACTGGAAAGTCATAGGAGTGAGTGACACATTTTAAAATGACCCAAGAAGACAAGTACACATCTTAAGACACAGAGAGACAACAATTGAGAAACTAGAGAAAATGAGCTGAGCATTTATGGTTTGAGGTTGAATTATAGAGAATTTGGACTTTTATATGAAATCTCTCTCTCAACTGACCTATATATATTTGCACGTATTGATTAAATGCATTCTGATATTCTGATAACGCGTTCTGTATTTCAAATAAGTCAATAGGTATTATCCTATTCTCCGTAAATTGTACCATTAGTTACATAGAGCACAAAACCCCTCCTTACCCTCAGGCATTCACCATCAGTGACATTGGAGATAAATTATAAAGAAGAGGTGGCTGAACTCTGCTGTCTTGGAAATGGCTCAGTGGCCTGATTCCTATTTATTTTGAATCAAGTCTTACAACTAAGATCTTTGAATCTGATCTGTTTGAATTTGATTTGCTTTGGATAATCTTGAGACTTAATTGACCAGATAATTTCACAAGTGTCTATACCTTTGTTTATTTGGTTTAATGAGCTGTCATCACCTAATAACAATTAGCGCTTTTGTACAGATCATGGTGTTTGTGCTGGAAAGCAATTTAGGTTCTGGACTATACTTAGGGTTTCTGAACCGTATGCCCACTGCAGCTGTGGGTAAGGGCTGGGCAATTTCCCTTTTGTGGGGATTATCGGCACATAAGAGAGAAGAGCAAATTGTAAGACTCTTTGATTCTATTTTAAGTGATTTGTGGAAGATACAAATAGGCCAAGAACAGCTATTCCACAACATTAATTTCCTGCATAGAAGACTCAGATTGAGATAGTGCCCAGCGCAGAATTTCTGTCTCATTGGTCACGTCTTTCACCTATCTCTCTTCTGGAAAACTCATTCTTCCCTTTCTATTCTGAAAATTGTCCCATAGGAGCTGCCATCCTCTCATCTGCTCTAACTGACCTGGCCTAAGTGACTGCTCTGGGGAAGGCTATATGACTTGTGATGAACCCATCAAGTTATTACCTTGCAATTTTTCAAAGTGGAAACACTGGATGGAGAGTCCTTTTATTCTGTGTGATGAAACTGAAGATGTACGAGGCCAGGAGGTGTCCGTGAACAGGAAACTGTATTCCTATGGGAAAAGCCAGTCTTAGAGGAGAAAAATCCGAGGGGACAGAAGGAGAAACACAGCGCGACTTCTACTCACAAATGAGACTCCTGCCTTCCTGAGATTTGCTTCACTGAGCTAATAATATCAACTCTCCTTTTTTTCTTTTAGATTATTTATAGATTTTAATGGATTAATTGATTGTATGTGTGTGTGCGTGCGTACATTCGTGGTTGTTCAATTCCCTTTAGATTGAATTTTGATCAAAACAACAGCAAGAACAAAAGAGTCCTGATGAAAATATCCAGAGAATTTGAGTATGGTTGTGCAGAGACAAATGCTTTGTTGCAGTTCACTCCAAAGTGGCTTTTATTGGTAAGAATTGTAGATTCTCAAAGACTGTTCAGGCTTAAGAAATACAGAGTACTCATCAATAACCCAGATAAATTACCAATAGTTCAAGTTTCAGTTTCTCAGCCTTTGAGAGGGGAAAATGTATCTATAAGCTTGTAGACATTCCTTAAATAATACAGATGAGCTAATAATTTAAAATTTTACGATATGTTCTTGATCACAAATAGACATACATTCACGGACATAGTTTGAATTGAGGAGCATAAAATATATTTAAAGTAAGGCTTACCAGGCAGAAGAAAACATTAGTTCTTTACCTGTTTTGGTATCCAACTTTTCTGAGTGGTGTCTGAGCTCCACTATAAAACAGGAGATGGGTTTGAGTAGATCGACAAAATGATTGGACTCAAATTTACTAAATGGTATAAGAACCCTAGAATAAGCTACTAAAATTATGATCTAATTTATCTAGTAAGTTGTAAAGATGAATCAAATTTGCTTTCAGACTGCCGGAGCCCCATATTTCTTATTAGAAGGGCTTCTGTGACCCCAACAGGGAGAACAGGCGAGTTCCCTGAGACTGTTCTCGTCCCCAAGGCCCCAGGATAAAACACAGACAGCAGTGCAAGTGTGACTTGGCTCTTTAACGTAAAGCAGGCCTGCTTCTGCTGGGCCTTTGTGAACTGCCCCTTCTTCGTGTAATACCCTAGAGACCTAAACATCAAATACCAGTGAAAACGAAGGAGATACCTTGGGAATGAACTCAGATATCCTCAAATCCTCCTCCCTGACTCCGATACGACAGAATTTTGAATAGCTGAAAGTAATTCACTAATATGTTTTACATACAGCCCTCTTGAAGAGACTGTTAGGATGAACGCACACTTAAGATTTTCTAAGCATTTATAATAACTTTGATTTGCATATACATGCTAAGAAATCCACTTTAAATATATGACATTTCTGACTATTTGGCCTAGGATAATATAGAGCTCTTCGTGCTATTGTTTTGTTCATTTTATATTTCAACGCAGAATTATAGAAACTAAACAGGCAATACACCCACATATACACACATGCAGATATAGATATAGATCTGTGTATGTGTATGAATGTAAATATGCATCTACACACATTTATATATGTACAGAAAAATGTGTGTATACTTAATGTATGCAGCATTGGAGACTTGGATAAATGTATTGTTTTTAAGTGATGATTTTCGCTTATTTTAAAAAAGTGGTTTCTGTTTGAGCAGTGAATCTACTTGAATCTCTGGGAATACATTTTATAATATTAATAAGCCCAGACAACTTGAAGTCTCAAGCAATTTTGATGGAACTAGGCCAGATATTATTCAGACTTCTATTTTTATACTATATACCAGTAAGCCAGGATTTAAAGGAAATCAAGTTAAGAGAAAATGACAAAATACCTCTTCATTCTATGAGAGGATTCAGAATGTTAGGTTTTGATTTTACCCACTTTCCTTTTTTTCTTTCAGACACCTTTTTGTTTGTTTTCCTGCGAGGACTTCATCCATAGCTTGGGGCTTGAGAACCACGGAAAGACTCTGTCTGCCTTTTCCTGTCCGACTCTCCCTCCACGCCTTGGTGAACCCCGCACTGCAGCCAAACAGACCTGACTGGATTCTCCTTCCCCTTTCCAGTGGACACGGATACAACTGGCCTCGCCACCCCGCTGTTCCACCCGAAACGAAGTGAAGCTGGGCCTCTCTGACCTTCAGTCTCCTTATTTATAAAATGCTAACAGTAACAAGGCCTGCCTTGCAGCTTTGTTGGATACTTACTCTTTGGAAAGCAACTAGTATACGGAAGGCGCTCAAAAGACATCCATTATATTTTCGCTATTAATGCCTTCTACTTCTCCCTTGAGATCGTGAGTTACTTGGGAACAAACAATATTTTATAAAGCTCACATCTCCTGGGCCAAAAAAAAGCATGTCTATTATATAGAAAGTATGCAAGTTATGTTTGAGCAATTGAATAAATGGATTTCTTCAATCTGAGTCACTCTATTCCTTTCTCATCACTCTTTATTGCCTTTTTATATGCTAGCCATCTTGACAAGACCATCTATATCCTCGTTTTTTATAAGCATTTCCTATGCTGGACCATCCTTATATTTTATGCATGAAGAATTTCAATTTCAATTTTGTATAGTTTTCCAAACACGTCATATAGTTTAACCTTCATTGTTTTGCATATTTTGTCCTCTCTGCCTATATTGTTTTCACATATAAATATTTAATTTAATAAGTATTTAGTGAGCACCTACTATATGACAGCTATTATGCAAGATACGGAAGTGGTGTGAGGTTGGGGGTAGTGGGAGAATCCTGCTCCAGCAAGGAAAAGTATTTCATTACCAGCATTGTTTAGAATTGCTGGCTCAGGGCACATAGTGAAAGGCAGACTAACTTACAGTAAGTTCCATTATTACATTAAATTATCTACAGACAATGCATTGCCTTATTTCTTGTATCCAGGGTAGATGGCTCCTAGGAATTCCAAGAAACTTTGGCAAAGTAGCTTAAAACATGAGGGAACATAAGTCATCTTTGAGCATAATGAGCAAGAGATAGGCTGGAAGTTACTTAGTATTCATCGTGAAAAGCATCTGATGGCATCTTAGACTGTCCACCTAAAAGCCAGGCTACTGGGAGACATCGCAAACCATCAGGCTCCAAAATCCTGGCTCCAAAGTTAAACAGTGGGATTATGTTTACACACCTATCTCCTAGAAGAAATTATGGCCTGCCACACAAGGCTCAAGAGGCAGCAAACGCTTGCATGTGTTAAGAGAATTGCATGGGTTGTGGAGGGGGAAAGATATTGTTAGACAGAACTCAAGGGGGTGAGGATAAAAGTGTCTCCGAACCTTAAGCAAAGCTACTCAAAAGTACAGGATTAAGCAAAGATGAAAGAATTTGGGGTGCAAATTAGAGTTAACAAAACTTTCTCCTGAAATTCTACCACCCTATGGGTTTGAATGTTTAGGACCATGTTATTTGGACTTGAAATCAAGGTCTAACGGTGTATGCACTTTATGAATATCTCACCAGCTACCACCAGCACTATGTAATCTAGAATCCGCCACAGTAAAGTTAAACAGTGGGATTATGTTTACACACCTACCACAGCTAACTAACATAAATGACTCTCTGGCATCCATCTTTCCTCTTTCTCTCTGTTGTTATAGAATTGAGTCTATCAGCTCTTTTGCCTGGTTCTGGAACAAAAAATGAGGGGGGATGGCGCATGCCTCCCTCGGGGTTCATGTTGATTGCTTCCGGAAACTCTGGAATTTTTGTTGACATATCCACTTCCCACTTCTAACGAGCAATGGAAGGGCCAAGTTGACTCACCAAAGAAACTGTCATCTCAGGGAACATTTGGAGAAAAGCAGCTCATTGCACAAGTGAGCCATTTGTTTCTTTTACAATTTGCCACCCACTTTGCTAGTAAGGGTGGAGCGGCTGGGTTGAAAATGATGGATTGCCCTAGATGGGTGGCTACTGAAATCTTGCAACTTCAATGGTCACGCTGAGCAGAAGATAACCAGTTTTTCTGGCAACAGAATAAATTGTCCTCATGTGTTCCCAAGTGGCCCTGTACTTTTGTCAGATGCAAAAGTCCAAAACATTTCTCTTCTTTTGATTTCCTTCCTTATCTTCTCCCCAGATTTATTCCTTTGGTGTCCTTTAAATTCTGATCTTATCTGATATTCTTCACCTAAACATTCAAGAGCCTTACCCACTGATTAGCAATCAACTGCGCTGGATGTATCAGGCTTCATTTTCTATCTGTTTAGATGATGAATATCAGAAATGTCTTGTTCTCTGACATTGATAGAATTGGTGTCTATCCTAGAATCTTTTTATAATAGCAGGTACTAATTTAAGATAACTGTTTGTATTTTACCTTAGCCTCCCTGACAGGTGAACATTCTAATTTATCAAAATATTGGATAAAAATATCTACTCCCTCAAATGTAATAGAAGTTCAAAAATTCCATTTTTAAGGCAAATAACCTTATATATGACTGAGAGCAGCTACTCAATAAACCTTTGATTCCTCTCCCAACTGGTAGTTATCTATACATGCCCCTTTGCATGGTTGGTTCTTTACCTAACTGGTTAAATAAAGGAATCTACTCAAAGTGTTCACAGATTTATTCAGGAGATTCAGCACATGATGTCTAACTCTGTTATACATGATGACAGCTTCTTGGAGTCAGGAAGACTCCAACCTATGACCCATGACAATTCCAAAACATGAGCAGGTTACTTGATCTTAATGTTTCTAAGTACCTTCATCTGAAACACTGAGATGAAAACAAGATACATACCAAATGATTGGTGTGAACATTAGGTGACCTGATATAATTTACCCATCTCACACAGATCTGACACAAATTAAGAGTTCAGTAATATTTATTTCCTATCTCTTTCCTTGTCTGGTGTGTGTTTTTATATATGCTAAAATGCCACAGAAAAGCAAAATTCCATCAAATGAACAAAATCTCCACTGAGGATAGAAAATGAGCCTTTCTGATATTGTGGTTAAAACCATAGCAATTTCCTCTGAAAATTGTGACACGTGGCGAGAATAAAGCAGATGTTTAGCTGACATCATCTTGAGAAAATGGTTGTTTATAGTTTTACCCGTTTTCTTCCAAAAGAAGTAAGCCTGGAAGTAAATTCCTAGCCTGAAAGTTTTAAAAGAACCGTTGGTTTTCTCATCTGCACATTGGTTCCCATTTTGAGCTGTATCACGGATGTGCTTTGGGAACCAGAAGGTGCATCACCACCATACCATGGAGTAATGCGTCACAAATGCTCCCACACTCCAAAATAAGCAGAATCTTTGACAGAAGAGAACTTGTGAGGAAAAAGAGAGAGAGAGAGAGAACATGTGGAAAACAGTTGCTTTAATCAAATGTCTTTTGTGCTGCCTTTTACCCGTGAATTACTTCTCATTAGCTCACATTATGCGATGCTGTAACGACAGCAATGATTCCCCTATTTCATAGATGCCGTAAAACACCAGGTATCTGGGCAGTTGTGGTGCCACCGTAGTTGTCAGATGATTTCCATCTTCAGCAAAACTGATTAGGTGGCCAAAAAGCAAAATGCAATTCCTGTTCTGTCCCATAGTTGTTGAACATTGGAATAATATGAGGCAAAACTTGAGAATAGCATCTTTCAATAGAACTTTATGGCTGGAGAACAACAAATGCGATTAGTGAGACTGAAGAAGTATATCTTTAATTCTATTTAATTAGTTTAAATTTAGATAGCCACGTGTTGCCAGTGACTTCTATATCAGACAGTGAA